CTGCCTCTTGCCTCCTCCCCCCTCCTGGAATGCGCCCCTCCCCCCTATAGCCTTGACCTCCTCCATCACCCTCCTCCGCGTAGGTAGCTTCCATCACAGAATCTTCTACAGCTAGCGTCTCCCAGGTACATTTCTACCTGCCCAATCAGAAGATCTCAGGGGGCTTGCTGAGGACCCTGCCTAACATAGGAAGGGAGGGGGGAATAGGAGCAGGCCTCCTTGGCCAGAGACCGCACACAATGAGCACATCGTCCCTGAAGGCGCAGCTGCTCCCCACCCTCAGGAAAGCTCTTAAGAACATTTTGTTTCAAAGGGCCCATGCCCCTAGGAGAACCGGGAACATCTATTTATTATTGGAATTGTTTTTAAATTATTTCTGAGATGTTATTTTTGTATACTCTCCAGAGTTGATCTGACTGGATCATATTTAAATATTGACCAATAAAAAAATAATTGAGATACCCCTATTAGCAAGCGCATATTCTATTCATACTGCAGAGGGTCAACACATGTTACAGTCCATCACTGAGCCTGCATCGTGGCAATGCTGGCGGAGAAGGACTGATATCTCGTTCTGTGCCAGCAGCCCACCCATGGAACATCTCCTGGCCCAGAGCCCAGTGGAAGGTTCAGCTACAGCTTTGCTGGAATCATTTTGCCACGCCTGACCCCTCTCTTCCTGGCCAAGGAAAGTGGCTGGGGAGGGGACAATTAATCAGTCTCAATCATCAGGAAGCAGCGATTCTCCATTTACTGCAAGAGTTCTCTACAGTTATCATCAAGCCTGTCAGAATCTCAATGGACTCTCCCTTTTTACAGCAAGCTATGTGGTGGTATGACAGCTTCAAGACTTTTGGCAGAAGTATCTAGTAGATAATCTACACTGGGAAGCAGAGGACACCCCTGTTGGTTCTGCTGGACCTCTTAGAACCAGAGACCACAGGATTCTTCTGGGCCACCTGGAGGAGATAGATCTGGAGGAACTATCCTGTGGTAATTCACAAAATAAGCCCAGAAGGTGTTGCTGTGGGATGCTTGATCATTGCTACATATACCAGCATTAGGAGTCAATTCTTTTTCCTATCCTGTTCAATATGTACCGGAAACTGTTGGTATATCTCATTTCCAGCTCCAACTGGTTTGGCTGAGACCTTCAAGTAAGTGGTGTCTGCTATGGCCATGCAGCTGATGCATCAACTGCACCCATTTCTAGAGCAAGCTGCTTGGCCAGGTGACCCAGGCTCTTATCATCTTTTGGACAGATTACATGCTCTCTGTATGGGGATGTGCTGGAAGAGCCTTCAGAAGCTACTGCTGGTCCAAAACATGATAGCTAGAGTTTGGATTGACTCCAACCAGAGCATGTAGCACCAATCTTAGTCCAGCTGTGTTAGTTACCAGTTCATTTCTTGGGGCAAAGCAAATATTCGCTAGAGCCCTAAGTAGCTTGAATGAATCTACTTGGCAGTTAGATGCCCGCTGAGTTTCCCCTGCCTC